CTGAGCATAGGGAAGCAGAGAACCATATTCAGTTTATATAATAAAACATACTCAACTGAGCATAGGGAAGCAGAAAACCATATTCCATTTATAGACTTTTGAAGTACTTTCAGTGACAGGGTGTCTACAGATTACTGAAATTTGAAAACATAATGGACTTATTTGAAAAACAGGTGGATAATAACCACATACTGTGGAGGTATGGAAAAACTTAATTTGTAACAAATATCCTTAGTAAAGTTTATTTGGGTTACTTATGTAGAAAGAAGTAATATTGTTAATCTACTCTGAAAAATTGTTTATTAAAATAAAAATAAATCATCTTTTTGTTTAGTTTTAAACAGATACAGACAACAGATGGAACTAGGAAATCATAAAGTCATGGATATTTTAAGTCTGTTATTTTTTTATTTGGGTCTGTCATACAGAGCACATAAAGTAAAATGTATTGGTATCCAAAATAACAATTCAAAATTGTTCACAAAAAAAGGTACAAATCTCCCTGTGATTTGGCAAGTATACGGGGTGTGATATTCCGGTACTCTGAACATGCAGCACATAATTACAAGAGATTTGAGGACCTAGTCTGAAGAATGAGAAGTGATTTGTCACCACATAAATAAAAATGCACTATTGGCACCATCACAGATGAATAAAACTAGTATACAAACAATACATACCTTACTATCTATCCAATTACATATATTTCATAACTACAAAATATTTGAATAATGCTTTCAAACATCCTAAACTTGATTGAGGGTGTGTTAAATTTGGCCTCAGTTGTTACTTTTTGTAATTTGACCAGTCAAAAACTTGTCTACTATTGCATTGGGATGCAGGCCTGGGAAAAATAAATGATGCCAGCCAAAAACGTTGGATTGACCAACCTAGAGATAATTCTTTAATAACTTTGGCCTGACCAGGAACTCTGTCCTGTCAAAGTCCTCCGGAAAATTTCCAAGTGGCCCCTGGATAGTTAGATTGTGTCCTTCCTGACCTTTTGGATGATACGTTGCAGACTGTCACATCACTGAGCAGCTATCATGATCCACAATGATGGTTCATAATTGGGTTTGCCCAAAAATTTCACAAAAATTCTAATAGAGTATATGGCCAAAAGCCATCTTAAAAAGTAGACTTGTTCTTGAAAATACACTCAATGGCTAAGGCTTCTAAAATATTGATAATAACAAAAAAAAATTGATTTTCCTATTGTTAGACAAAATTCATCTATTTGTTATTCATATTGTTATTATTATTCTTGTTTCATAAGCCTACAGAAAAAAATGGTTATGAATATTTTATTCAAACCTGGGCAAACACACTAAAAAAACTTCTGTGCAGGTTATAGGACTATTTTTATGTTGATTCTTAAAAGAAAGGGAGAGATTTTATTAGTTTTTCCTATCGCTACTGGCCAAGTTTCTCTTAGAAGCCTTTCAAGCACCAAAGCCTACAGTAAAAACGACTATTTTGAAGTTCATATTTCCACCCCCTAAAATTTCCTAAGTTCTTCTTTGGTACCAACGTAAGCTCTTTAAAGCCATTCAAGCATCACAGAAATGTAGAAGCCATTTAAGGACCTTTATACTAGTTGGAAATGCTTCATTTTATTAAAGTAAACAATGTGTATATTTATAACAGTGTCTCCAGCTACTAATATTTTAGTGAAACCTGGACAATATTAATGAATGTAGTATTGAGTATATCATAGAGTAGTTTTAAAATTGATTCAAGCACACTCGTTTTTTCACCCCGAAAAATTTCTCCAAGTCCTTCACTATCTGCCATGGAAAAAAAAAATGTTTTACTAATGCATGTTACTTGGAAAATAATTTGTGCAACTCATAGTGCATTATTTGGAAACTGCCATGTTCGGGATTCATCATTTCTTGAGTTCACCGTTTTATTTTGTTTACATGATTTTCTGTAAAAATTTTGGTCAGCGGTGATTTATTCTACCGATTTTCATACTTCGCTTGTTAAACAGTGTTTACACAAAACCACCTGGCTCAGGAAATAATGGTTGGGTGGAAAAAAAAGCCAATGCAGCAGTAAACTGTTGAAAAAACATGTAACATTCAAAAGAATGCGTATGCACATATGTAGCCTAAAATTTATTCTCCATAAATGGACATAAAAAAACCTCAAAACAAGATAATTAAAAATTATTAATTTAAAAAGGGGAATAGGACTTGTCAAAACAGTACAGAAAGAAGTTAAATCAAAATACAAAGATCATAAATTTTAAGCCTACAACTAGGGACTCTTAAAAAAAAAAAGTAAAAAACTAAGGTTGGAAATAGTGTCTACATTATTTTTTCAATCCACAAATCCTTGTTTTGACTCCACAAAAATTGGTAAGTACTGTAGACATTAATTCAAAATAGGGATATGTAGGTTTTGTATGCATTTCGCCAGAATTTTCCTGATGTCCCAATAATTCTCACCATACCTTATAAAATTTCTGGTCTATTTATAAAAGGTGGATAATAACATGGTTTGGAATAGTTTTCAGCTAAAGAGATATAATTGTTATCGGAGGATGTTACCGTCTGATGGGTAAATCAGAATTTTCGCTATCTGCTCGGATTTAAGGAGTTAAAAAAGGCCAGATTTACTGTAATTTATCCAAACTGAAAGATAACATGAAACACAGTTAACTTTTAGTTGAAATGCAAGAGGAATCAAAGTTAAAACAAAAGTGCATGTGGTCATTCATTCAGAGATAAAAGACAAAATACACAAGCACTTCAACAGCAAGTCTTAACTTTTTCACAGTCTAAACAATTTCATAATTTATTTTCTCTCAGTAGGTGGTCAGTTACATATCAAATTCTAGGAATTTTGCAAAATCCTTGCCTTGTGATAGTCATAAAATAACTTCCTAAACATAGTAGATACCACCCCTTTAATAACTCCCACTAAAAAAAAAAAAAGTAATACCCAGGGTTAACTTTTCAAGTGACTTAGAGTTGGTTCCAGCAAAAATTTTGCAAGTTTTGTATTGGATACAGAAATAAATTGCAGAACAGTAAAGAATGCGATAGCTGTTTATTACAAAGGCTTGGAAACAATTATTTTGCATTACAGGTAGGAACATTAGGCAGAAGTAAATTCATGAAATGATACATAAACTCATTGTTATTTAAATATTATTCATCCTTGAATTACATTTTCACCAAATACAACTAACAAACTATACAGTTTTCCTAGGTCGATTAACATATCATAATGCCAGTATTATCTTTAAAATGTAATTCACTATAAGAAGAAACACAAAATAGTCTTTAAAGAATAAAGTTGAAACATTTGAATAACTGTTACACCAAACCAAATACCAGGAATTTATTGTGTACTTGTAATAGAAGTATTTATGTTAGCATGGTTATCATCACTAATAAGGAAATTGGAAATTTTAACCTAAATTTCAAATTATCATGATCCTCCTGAAAAAATAACTTTGAATATTCTCAAACTTTCAGAAAATGAAGCTTACTAATGTTGATGTGTTTATGATAAATATATTTTAATGACTAATAAATGTACTCTCTTCATTAACCAATAAACAAAAATATTTGTCAACTGCTCAAATACTGTTGGCCAAACAGAAAAAAATCTTTATGGCTGCAACAACTGAATGTTTCTTCTAATTTAATTAATCTCTAATATTTAGTTTTATGCAATTAACATCCCAGTATTCAACTAACATATGTCAGTACTATCTGCTACTGAAAGATATTGATACACCGGTGTTTAAAAGTTATTACTAATTCTTGGAACTTTTAGACATTCATCTCCTCCTGTGCACAATGTATCATATCACAGTTCTTATGTCTCTGACTACAACCAAACCATTTCTGTCTTATCAAGAATGACCACCCACATTAATCAATGAAACAGAAAAAAAATATATGCTTATCTTGAGCTTGTAAACTGGCCAAAAATCTTTTTTGCTGGCATCTGTTCATCTCCAAGAGATGGTGGAAACTTCAGCTTATTTATGTTATAAAGAAGCAACTTTTTCCTCTGGCTAAGGAGTTCAGTGTGAGACTCTTGGATTCTGTCACAGCTGTTGCATTTGCACATGCTGTCAGATGCTGGTTCCGAGTCATTCTGCTTTCTTCCGTTTCTTTTTTTCTAGCTACAAGGAGCCACTCCTCATCACCTTCCTTGATACTTTTATTTCACAATCAAAATAAAAACAAAATTATTAAAAACTTAAGATTTAAAATCCTGGATGTTTCAAACAGCCAAATGTCCTTCTTCAGGAATATAAAACCTTGAACATCATTAGGTATAGAAGTACTGAAGAACATCTGGGCTGTTTGAAATTTATAGCATTTTAAATCTTTTAACTTTTGAAGATTTTATTTGTATGTTTCTATTTTAATCATGAAGTTCTGAAAAATTATACTTGGTATAAAACCTACATTGCCACCAGGTGTAGGTAAACCACAAACAAGAATGAAAGTAAACGAACAGACCAGTGATGAGAATAATACCATCTGTATTCAAATCTACACGTTTCAGAGCAGTGTAATAGGAAAACATTTTCATCAGTACTACGTATGACACGGAATACAGAGGTAAGGATTATCACAATGAATTAAAATTTATAATACTGTAAAAATTGTACGAATTTCACACTTTCAATGCCTTTTATCACTATGATCACATAAATATCATTAGCATATGGAATATCATCTTAATAAATATTTGAATGGAAAACCTTGGCAAGACATTTTCATAGAGGCAAAGATCACCTTAGCCGTGCCACCAATTGAAAGTCGGATGCCCAATAAAATATTTATCCTTTTATAATCCTTTATTTAATTAAACCACATAATATTTTTCTATCTTATCACTGCCACCGAGTCAAAGCCTGTGTTTGTATTTTATCATTGCCATAATAGGAAGCTTATGAAAATTTGACTATGTATTTCTGGATATGTGATTTTTTACATTAGATATTTAATAAAGTATGGACACATTTAATATATTTCCTACTTTTATTTTCCAAAATATGTACAGTAAATTGAATTGACAACCAGCTCTACCATAGAATGTAACAGCATAAACAATGCGACATATCAAAAAACCTGTAACAGCCATCTGTTGACTGTTTTGTTAACCAAAACAAATGACTTTCTGAATATGTTAATTCATTATGCAATAATACCTTGATGGACAGATGTTGCTACATTAACACAGTATGTAAATAGATACTTAAACTAATATGCTAAAATTAGTAACATTGGGCTGAGTATTAAGGAGAAATGTTTTATTTCTCCTTTTGAATGGAACCTCTATGATGATTCATATACAATGATGGTATGTTTAGATTACTCTATGACAACTATTACCAAGTGTATCATTTTGTATACTGAAAAGATGCTCAAACATTTATTTAATTCAAACGTACACGTTCACAATATACGTGCATCTGAATACTTCTGTTATTTTCATACATACGTGCAGAAAACTTTGCGCAGTTTAACTCTTTTTCTTTTTTATGCACACGTTAATATACATGCATCTGAATACTTCTGTTATTTTCATACATACGTGCAGAAAACTTTGCAGAGTTTAACTCTTTTTCTTTTTTATGCACACGTTAATTTGCAAGTGAAATAATCTTACAATGAAATACAGTCTCTATGAAATCACAATATATAACACGTACATCAGTTGCTGGAGCCTCTAAATGTTACAGTTTTAATACTAACCAGAAATTGTAAATGCTGCATAAACTTAATAGTAATGTGTTTGAATACGTGTAGACAATGGACAAATGTACAAATTATTTAAATACCTGATATTTGGAGCTTTCTTTAATAACCATTTGTAATTAATAAGAACAGAATTTCAGCTTTGTTCAATAATGTTTATCAATCATAGTTACTTGATATAAAAAAACATTACCATTCCTATGTTAAGGTATAAAAAGATTTACAATTACATGCTTTTTATTCATTCCGAGACACACACGACTTCTGGACAATGAAAAAAATACCCATCAGTCATGGTTCTACACACTACTTACTAATAAAAAAAACAATAAAAAATCTTTAGCTAAGAAAAAAGAAAAATTATGCTTTAAAAATTAGTTCCTAAAGTAAATCACTGTTTGGTTACTAATTATTACACTAACTTTAAAACACGCAAGCACACCATAATATTATCACAGATTAAACTTTTTTGTACTTGTGTGACAGAAAACTGGATTGTATCTTGTAAACAATACCCATGTCCCAGTTTGAAACATTTTCATCATCTTTCTGACAACTGGATCTCAAAAAGAAATTACAGCATCATCTTCGGTTCTCATTGTAACTTCACTTTTTATTACGAAGACCAAACATTTACTGTCAAGTTTTTGTTTTAAATTTTGTCTAGACTTCAAGCATCATGTCCAGCTTTAATTACGAGTTTCATATTTCACAAAAAGGGGTAATCTCTAACCTTGAAATAAACTTTATAAGATTTCATTAATTTTCTCATTGCAGTGTTATGCCTCAAGAAATGTAAACAATTTACATTCAAGACTCTGTTTGAATTTCTATGTCACACGTGTTTTCTGAGAAAAGGCAACGGTTCATTAAAGACACTGATTTCCTGATTTCCAGTAACTCTCTGAGGAGGTGATTCTCTTTCATGAGTTGCTCAAGTTCTTCATGCTCCTTGTTGACATTACCGTCATCTATTTCAATGGCTTTTTTCATCACAGCTACCATTTCAAAAATCTTGTCAATTTTCTGTTGCAGATCCTTAAATGAGATATACTTATAAAACTCCAATCCACAGAGAATACAAAAAGATTATTTACACCACCCATACAGCTGGTTTTTATAAGATACAAAAACAACTTAAAAACTGGCATTACCCCTTATATCTATTCAGTAACAATATATCTTCTACAACAAAATTTGTACTTTTTTTTTGAAAAACAATGTATTACAATGTCAGGTTGCAAGTTGAATTGAAACATCACTATTTATAGTTTTTTAGCAAATAATTCAAGAATGACACGTATAAAATGTATCCAAAATGATTATACAGTGTATCAAGTATACATGAATTTTATGTTTTTAATGTATAATCCTTACTCATCATTAATAACCTAAAATACTTATTTTTGCTAAAATTCAAGTTTAGGTGAACAAGAGAAATTAACAGCTAAATATGTAACCTGTTAGTCTATTGAATAATTAATTGTGGCAGTATGTCACATGTTATCCAAACACCTAGTGTTTTAGGTTATTAGTGGTAAGTAAAGGACTACACATCAAAATCAAACTGCTTATGTTCCACCATTATATTAGGCCTACTTTATCTATTTCACTCTTCTAAACAGTACTGATGAACTGTAAATTCATTAAAACTAGTGAATCAAATATATTAGGCCTCTACTCCATCTCTTTTTTTTTCACTGAAGTTCATGTTCTGATGGAAAAAAGAACTTAACAGCTAAATAAGACTCAAAATTTGGGTTTGTTTGTTATTAAGTGCAAAACTACACAATGGGCTATCTGTGCTCTGCCTATCACGAGTATTGAAACCCCATTTTTAGTGTTGTAAGCCTTCTGACTTATCACTGAGTCACTGGGATCAATGAGAAAGCATTAACAAGTACTTGTAAAAATCAATAAATCACTAACATGTACACAAAAGCGAACAGAGTGGGATGTGAGTTTTCTGAATCAAAAACTATGAGTTCTGTAGTGGAAAAAAAGAGTTACTTGAAGCCCATATATGTTATCAACTATTAGTTTATGAATTGACAGAAAACATTTTACACATTCCAAGACATGGGTGTTGAAACGCATATTTAAAAGTCAGGTCTCTAGTAATAAAATATAGGATATGTGTTTTTTAATTCTGACTTCTACAGTAAGTTCAGTACCACCTATGAACAAATATCCATACCCAATAAAAAACAAAGTATCAAGAAAACGTCAATGGCAGTTAATGTATTACATTCTTTTCTTTTTTTAAGTATTTCTAATTTTGACTATTGCATACAGAAATCATAAAGTTATAATCTTTTTTTTTTGTTGTTAGTTTAGTACAGGAGAAGAAAAAAACAATCTCATTGCCTAAACCTAAAACATGACGAAGTGTAACTAATGGAAAGGTCGGAACAAGTACACTGTATGTGGTTTAATAGAGAAAATATTATTTATGGTAGCTTATTAACCAAAGAATTTGTCAGCACCTGGGAAGTACGTGGTTGTAAAGGTTAATTTTCAAAGTTATCTGCTTCATCTAGCATCTCAATATCACATAATTACTATTTCAAAATAGCTGTTGAATTGACTTTTACTTTATATCCTGATTTCTGGTGATTAAACCATTATCTGCGGATGACGGATATTTCCGTCATTGAAGTTCTATGGCTCAGCTGTGAATGACGGAAATGTTGCACATAAATAACTATAATTCTAGGCGAATGACAATAATTACCGTTTTATTGTGATTAATGGCAACTCAGTTTTATTTGCGAGTCAGAAAATGGCAACTGAGCTGCTCCAGCCGCAGTTAATGGGTTAAAATAACCTGGAATAGAAAGCTATCTAATGTTATAAATACAATCTAGGATCATCATTCACTGTTATTTGGAATTCAAATGTTTATGTAATATTAAAATACTATTCACAAACAATTAAGGACAAGCAAAATTTATAGTATTATAGCTATGAGAAGGCAAAAGATGATTAGAAATGGGCTTCAGAAGGCCAGTCTGTATACTTAATGCTCACAGCGAGGCACAATACAGCCAGCCTCTGATGGCATGCTTCCCTTGCTATTTATGGTGACAATACTTTAGATTTACATGCACCGTAAAGATATAAAACAACACATATCAAGTGTTCACTTATTAACTAATGTAGGCAGAGTGATCACCCATTTGTGTTTCAAATTATATGATGGACCATCAGATGCTTGATTTGAATAAAAATGAATTAAAGGAGGTGATTGGCATTAATTTTATAATCATGATACACAATGACATGGCATTAAATTGCAGCTGAGAACATTTAAACCAGTCTCATAGCAGGTACTATGTAGCCTTTGATTACTTTAAATATGCTAGCATATGATATCAATGTCTTCTACACAGTTCTTTATTCGTACCATTTTATGACTTTAGTTATAACTAATGGAGTGATCTTGTATTTTACATTTTTTTATAGTTATATAAGCTAATGTTTCTTATTTTCTTGGTTACACTTTGTAACCTCCTCCATGTATATGGGAACACTGATGCATAAAGAACAAGACAACTATTTTTTATTTATAATAAGTTCAACTACTGGGCTGATAGAAAAGTAAAAGAATATAGATAACTCTGTATTCTTAATTCTTCTATAATCAATATTGTATAATTCATTAAAGAAAATGCAACATTTATATTCAATTGAATATACAAAGGAAAGAGACAATAATATCACAGCAACTCCACATTAATTATTTTCATTATTTCAAACTACTAAGCTAGAGAGAAATAGTGTCCACATATATAAGACACTTTGAGCAAGAATAAACTTGGAGTTCAATATTTGTATGTATGAACTTAAAATCTTTAATAACTAAATGCATACATACATACACACACAGACTTACGTACGTACATATGTATGTATGGAAAATTAATACTTAAACAGTCAAACAAAATAAAATCAACAGGAAGGACTGCATTAAAAACAGCAAATCTGTGATAAGTGACATTTAAATGAACAAAATTAAATTAAAGATGTTGCATACATTAAAAGGATTCACAGGGTACAGACTATAATGTGGGATATAAAATGTGCATACATACATATATATATATATATATAT